ATACATGATATTAAACTTGTTCGAATAATTGAACTTGATTTTCACAGTTGATATGTGTGAAAAAGTTATCATTTACATCTGTTTAAGACTTTTTGTGTTGTTAAGAGGCAAACATGCAAATTTGTTGTTATTGTTCTATTTTAACAGTTTGCATAGCTTCAATACATGACATTAAATTTGTCAAAATAATTGAAATTGGTTTTCACAATTGATATGTGTGAAAAAGTTAACGTTTACGCCTGTTTAGGACATTTTATGCTGTAAAAAAGGCAAAATGCAAATTTGATATTATTGTTCTATTTTAACAGTTTGGATAGCTTTAATACATGATATTAAACTTATCTAAATGATTGAACTTGGTTTCTATGGTTGATATGTGTGAAAAAGTTATCATTTACATCTATTTAGAACTATTTTTGTTGTTAAAAGGTAAAAATACAAATTTACTATTATTAATCTATTTTTAACAGTTTGAATGGCTTTAATACATGATATTCAACTTTTTCGAATGATTGAACTTGGTTTTCATGATTGATATGTGTGAAAGGCCCAAATGCCTTTATTGTTTATATTTGTTTGAGGCTTTTGTGTTGTTAAATGGTAAAAATATAATTTTATAGTTATATTTCTATTTTAACAATTGTGATAGATTAAATACATGATATTAAATTTATGCAAAATTTTAAACTTGATTGACAGGCTTGATATGCATGAATAAGTTACAATTGATATGTATTTAGCAATAACATATGTTTTTATATAGGAGATTGAGAAAAGTGAAAAAATTAGACGTGTGAAACTTTTTCGATTAACCCATACAAAAAATGATAGATTTACGTGAATGTCGAAATATAACAAATTGTGGTAATTTGTTACATATGTTTTATACAGAAAGTAAATATTTATTATTTTAAACATATTATGAATTAATCATTATACTTGATAATTTTATTTGATTAATTTATAGGACAAAGCAAAACAGAAAATGGCTGCTGAGATTGAAGTAGCATCTAATGGTTCTGTCAATATACAAGAATTGAAAAATCAAATTTTCACAGAATTTGCTAAAAAAGAAAGACGTGGATGAGTCTAAGGCCTTGGTTTGGGTCCAACACCATCTACCTACTAAGGACATATCTCTCAGTAATTTACATTCTCAACAAGTCAATCTTTGTAAAACATTTCCATATTGAGAGAGGAATTGCAACTATGCAATAATATTTTCAGTAAATGGAAGCAGAAAGAGAATATGAACATGCTAAAATTAAAAAAAAACATGCTAGAATGAACCAAGAGCGTGCAAAATTTTAGCAATTACATGATCGATTCAATAGTCCTATGAATTATGTGAAACAACAATTTTCAAGAACTAATTTAGGTGGTCAACCAACTCAAGTATTATATTTAGTAACTATTTATATTTTTTAATATAAAAAATAGCTTATTATTTAAGTGTTAAAACTTGTATGATATTATTCAGTAAGTTCTTAAGCATGCTAGTGACCAAGGTGAAAAAAATCCTTCATCAAATGGCAGCATTCCATATTTATGCAATCATCAATTTCATATATTTTAAATTTTTTAGTTTATGTACTAAAATAATTTGAATGTTATTGCATGTATTATTAAACTTTGTATTACATGCATATTTGAACAAATTATGCATTTATAATATTTAGTTTATGAAATTAAGTTTGTTTTTATTTCTTTTAATATTTTTATTTAATGATAATAATAAATTTAAAAAGTTTTTAAAAAAAGTAAATTTCTTAATTTTGTGACGTGTGTTCAAAAAATCGCTAAATTCGAAATTTAGTGGCGTTTGTAGTATAAAATGCACTAAATTTTAGGGCATTTGTAGTATAAAATGCCACTAAATTTAGTGGCATTTTTCTATACAAATGTCTCTAACTTAGCAACGTTTTATGATACAAATGCTTTTAAATTAGTAGCATTTTTTTGATACAAATACCATTAAATAAGCGATGATTATGCTTACAAACACTGCTAAATTAATGACTTTTCATATAAAATGCCGTGATTTTCTCCGATACGTGTATAGCCGATGCTCTTGTGGCATTTTTGGCAAACGTCACAAATATTTTAGTGGCATTTATAAATTAGCAACGATTGTGCTTACAAACGCCATTAAATAAATGGCATTTCGTATAAAACATTGCAATTTTCCCTGATACGTGTATAGCCGATACTCTTAATGGCATTTTTGGCAGACGTCACAAATATTTTAGTGGCATTTATAAATGTTGCTAAACCTTAAAAAAAATGCCACTAAAGACTTAAACCCCTGTAATGCATCCAAGAATCAGTGTGCTTTTACATAATTAACATATATATTAGTGTGCCATTTGCACTTCACCTCGGATGGTATAATTTAGTTATATGTAATTTTAAAACAATTATTGAAAATTTACAAATAGGTATTAAGTTGTTATAAACTGATACGGGAATTGATGGTTGAGATATTGAAGATTAATTGCAAATAAAAAACTTACAAAGAAGATAACTTATAAGAACGTGAATAATGATAAAATATTGTTATTGAATTAAAAAGATAAAAGTTCACCATCAAGACTAGACACTAAAGGATAAAAAAATATCACCTTAAGAATTCTAATCAAGGATATAGAATAACAGAAGTTCATCACTCTAGGAAATTCACCTAAGAGATATAGAACTTGAGAACAATCTAAAAGATTGCTTAAGGATAAAACAAACTCTACTCCATCTATCCTACAAACAATATCAGAAAATAAATAGGCTTGGAACATCCTTTCAAGCATGGAAACTTCAAAGACTACCTTTTTTGGGTTGCTAAATTGATGGAATTGCCTTTAATCTTGTCTTGTTTAGATGGTGTTTAAAATTATAAGATTGACATGTGAGTATAATAATCTGCAATGTGAATATAATTAGCTGTTACTTAAAGTCATGGGTTTACATATAAAAACAATAATTACCTGATGCCTAAAATCATAGAGTTTGTATGTGAACACAATAATTATAATTAGTTGCCTATTTACTTTTATAAATTATTGCTTTGCACATTGACGATCATGAATCTGTCCATAATCCCATCCATCTTTATTCTCTCCCTTTGTAGTTAATGTAAACACAATATCTCCATTTCAGCCCACCTTATTTTTACATTTGCTTAGTGGATTTGGATCAAGGATAAGCTCATCTTCACTTGGATTAAACATAATAAAATTTTAACCTAAATTGTAAAATCTATAAACACTCATGTGTCAATTTCTTTTGGTTGGAAAAAACTTGTAGTCAAGTCTGAACTAGTGTCATCTCCATTGTAAGGTGACAAACTAGAAACTTTGAATGTGGGAGATACTTTATAAGTGTTGAGAAGCTCTATATTGTAGGCATTCTCTCCAATTCATTGTGAAACTTTAAAATGGGCAATTTACCTTAGACTGAAGCTCGCCAAACTTCCCTTGTGGAAACCTTTCTTTGTGCAAGTAATCCAACACCAAATCATGTTCTTTAAACTTCACATATCTTTAATGCATGTTTGTTGCTCTTTTAAATTTCTCACTTTTTTGTAAAATTTTATTTTGAACCTATTCATAAAATGTTTTGATACTATTGGCTCTTTTTTCTACATCTCTATCAAATTTCTAGTTAGTAGAAAGTTGATTTAAATACAAAGAAAAGATTAGATTCTTACCAAGAATAATTTCAAAAGGGTTGCAACTAATGGTTTGACTTGGTGAATGGTTGTAGGCAAACTCCACTTATGGTAAAATAGGTTCCCATTGTTTTACTTTCTTTATCACATAACTCCTCAAGAAAATTTTTAAGCTGTGATTGATAATTTTAGTTTGCTCATCAATTTATGAGTGATAACAAGGGCTATGATTGCCACTAACGAAAAACTGACATCTTCACTAGTTCTAATGTGGTCGAGCACAATTGATTAGTGCAATCATGGAGATAAGTAACTATAATTATTGAAAAATTAAAACTCAAATTAAACTTAAAATTCTGCGTTAAAAACTCGATTTGAATTTAACTGAATTTTAATTTATAAATTTGAGTTTGACTTAAAAAATATATAAAAATTGAGTTATTTAAATTCGTTTGATTAATCTTATTTTTCATATAAAAAATGAGTTTGATTTTTATATTCAATTTAAATTTGATTATTTATTTTCAAATTTGGACTCATGTTTATAATATATATAAAATAAAATAATAAAATTTAATTAAAATAATAAAAATATATATTAAATATAAAATTTTGATCAAATTTATAAATTATTTGAATTAAATATTAAAATATTTAAACTTGACTCATTCGATAAATTAAATTATATGAGCTTAATTCGACAATGATTAAATTAAATTTAAATTTTATTCGAACGTAATTCAAATAATTGGTTGAGTATAAATGTATTATTTAAACATTTAGAGAGACATCATTATAAATAAATAATAATAATAAAAATATCTCTTTTTACTTTATAAATAAAAGAATGTACGATGAAATCATTGAGATCTTTTGTACTTATTTATGAAGTACCACTAATTTATGAAGTACCACTAATGTTAGCGACAAATTCGCGTAAACATAGATTCTTATGTGGCTGGCTTTGTATTCATTTGCCTACAAAAGATATATGAACGGCCAATCATTTATAGAATTAATTAATGAAATATTTTGATTATATATCTTATTTTTTAATGTCTTTTTTAGCATTTATAACTCTTATTTTTTATATGATTTTTTTTCACATTTTAATATAAAAATTATGAAATATCAAATTTATAAAAACTAAAATTTTAATATTATATACATCAAAAGTTAATTTTTTAAAAAATTTTATAAAAATAAATTACGAATTAACAATATGAGATGAAAGAATGTACAATACTAATAATAATTTATAATTTATTTATAAATAACAAAATAAATATTTTAAATAATTACATGATAAAAGGGTAGGGAGACATAAGTGAGGCGAGGGAAGAGCAGGTCGTGATCACGTGCAACGGGAATGGAAGTGTGAAGATGATGACGGAGATGTCAAGATAAGCGTTTCCCAACGTACATGTGGCACTCAATTCCTCATTGTTTTTTCCTATTATTTAGAGCCAAAGAAAATTTCAATGTCACTCTCAGATCTCCCCTCTATTCTGTTGCACTTTAAGACCCACAACATACCACCCTCATTGATTCATTCATACCTGAACAGACGAAAAGTACCATCATTTGCCGCCGTCAATTGTAGAAGAAGAACAAAAATAACAAAGATATGGCTTCTTGTTGCAATTCTATGAGACTGGAATGTTTCTTCTCTGCTGCTTTCATATCATCAAAACGATCATTAAATGCCACTCCCATCCTTTCTTCTTCTCATCTCTATACCCACCGCTTCCCTCTCAGAAGGAATTCGTCTTCATTATCACACTTGCCTTCTTTCACCATCAAAGCTTCTTCTTCTTCTTCTTCTTCTTCTTCCTCCACCACAATTGCTGAGCCCGGAGGCGTCAAGGTTGCATTTTTTGGCATTGGTTTTCTATTTTTTTTTTAATATTATTGTAGTCTAAACTAAATAGTGGTTTTTGGGTTCTTTATTTGAATGTACAGATAATTTCAGTTCCCACTAAGCCGATTGAAGGGCAGAAGACTGGGACAAGTGGGCTTCGGAAAAAGGTAAGTTTTTATTATATTTTTTCACTGTTATTTGTATTATTTTGCTTCTAAAAATTGATTTTTTTTTCATTGGTTAAGGTAAGATAAGAATGGGAGTAGAATTTTGGTGATTTTCCCATTATGTTTCATAAACATTGATGTATTTGCTTTGAAATTGGCTTGGGGATCCAATTGCTTAACATCAAATTCCATGTAGTCTTTGTCTTTGGTTTTATTTAACACAATTTCATCTGTTGCAGGTTAAAGTTTTCATGCAAGATAATTATCTTTTAAATTGGATCCAGGTTTGAATTTTTGCAAATTTCATTTTTTGGCATTCCTTTTATTTGTTTTAGTCATTTAGCGCTCATTTGCATTAATGGGTTGGAACTTATGTGTCTGCAGGCGTTGTTTAATTCATTGCCACCTGAGGATTACAAGAATGCAGTGTTGGTTCTAGGAGGTGATGGACGATACTTCAACCACGAAGCTGCGCAGGTCATTTTCCAATCTGCTAGTCAATTAACAGTGCATTGTTCTGCTTGGATTTGGTTTAAGTTCTTTTGACATATCAAACCTGAACTTTCCTTTTGACTTAGCAAACAAGACAAGGAAGAGAAAAAGAACAAACAAAATCATGTATGTACTTGAAAACATTAGTCTCTTTGACTTCAGGAATATTTTAATTTGAAGTGCAGATAATTATCAAAATTGCTGCTGGGAATGGTGTTGGCAAAATTTTGGTTGGCAGGTGAGTGTTCTTCATTTGCTTATGTTCTTCACTAGTGTCACTATTGTTCGGAGGGAAGAACAATAAACTTGAAATATGTCTGATTTTGTCATCCCATCTTTGATGGTTTAGGAATTAATGAATCTATTGACTAATTGTTATTTTCATCATCAGATAACTATTGGCCCAGTTATGTTTTCCAGATGTTAAATTTGATTAAAAAATAAACTAAATGAAGGATGGTGCATTACTCCTTCATTTACAGGACAAACTTTACATGTCATCTAGTGATCTCCCCCATATGCTGTATCTGCTAATCTGAATAACAGTTATCCCTGACTCTCAGTTGATGGGTGGTGAGAGAAAAATTTTGATTACTTGAAGCTTTAATTTGTTGATCTACTCTCTATAGAGAACTCTAATGCAATCTCTATAATTTCTTCAGAGACTCTAATCATCCTTTAGGAAAGAAAAAAGGTTGATGAAGCATTGCCTTTGGGCCTGCCTGCCCAAAAGATTTAATCTAAGTACTGTTTGTGTTGCAAATAAACTTTTCTGCTTCTTCACTTTCTCAAAAACTGTTCCTGGGATGTTGAGTTTCTGTGAAGGAAATTAAAGATGGAATATGACATTGCAGGGAAGGTATTCTGTCCACACCAGCTGTTTCTGCTGTAATTCGGAAGAGGAAGGCTAGCATATCTCTTTTCATTTTGATTTCCATGCATTGTGTCAACATTTAAATATTTATGTATTTTTACCAATTAATTGAACAATTTTTTCCTCTTAGGCTAACGGTGGATTTATCATGAGTGCAAGCCATAATCCTGGAGGCCCTGAATATGACTGGGGTATCAAGGTTTATATCTAATCCATTGTGGCAACATGTTTGGTTAAATCATGAAAGCTATGTTCCATTTATTGAAATTCAACAGACATTTTGTTCATCCATTTATTTTCCAGTTTAATTACAGCAGTGGCCAACCTGCACCTGAATCCATTACTGACAAGATATATGGGAATACCATTTCTGTAAGTATAGAGTTTTATTATTATATATTATATATTTTTGTTTGAAGAGTGATTGCCTGGTTGGTTAAAGAGGCCTGAGATGAACACCATAGAATTAGTACAAGGAAAACTTCAGCTAGAGTTTGTCCATAAATGAGTCGTAAATCCACCATTAATCTTTGGTGTGGCTGTGTTTTCTGGGATACCTTTGATTTTACTGGAGTATGCAAATTTTGATTACAAACTGTTTTCCGGATTCAGCCAGTCAGCTTCAAGAATGGATTGGGTTTAGTTCCAGGTTCAACTGTTACCAAGTCAAGAAAAAAACTGAAAAAGAAAAGACATGCCTGGTTCGCTGATTCACACAAGAGGTTTCCCAAATTTTCTTAAACCTATCTATAATTTTTCAATTTTTAATATTAATGGAATCTCATAGTCAAACTACTCCAAAACAGAGTGAGCTGTTTTGCCTAAATAATGGAGACGGTTGCGACTTCTGTTTCACACTTAAATTTCTGTTCTTGATCATTTCTCCTGGTCAATCATTTATTTTTTTGCGCTTAACTGAAGTGTTTTATTATGTGCTAATGAATATTTCCTGCTTATTGTTTGAGAATGGAAATGCTGTGCAGATCTCTGAGATTAAAATGGCTGAGATTCCTGACGTTGACCTTTCTCATCTTGGAATTACAAAATATGGAAACTTCAGTGTTGAGGTCATAGATCCAGTTTCTGACTATTTGGAATTAATGGAGGTGAGGGAAAAAAATAGCCAACTCATTCTATAATTTTGGATAAAACTTCATGTGTTTCTATCAACAATATTGTGGGATTATGTGCAGAAAGTGTTTAATTTCGAGCTCATCAGAAGTCTTCTCTTAAGATCAGATTTCAGGTATACCTTGTGCTCCTGACTAAGCAGGAATGATAGTTTTATTAAGATTCTTGCTACTTGCTAGCTTGTTTTATGTTTGATTAATTTGGATGTTGATTGCTTGCTATAGAATTAAAACATGCTAGAAGTGGCCACAAGAAAGATCATATACATGCTTTAATATGTATGCAACAACAAATTATATCGTATTTCAAGTCATATATTTGTAAGTGCATATCATTATCGAGGGCTGTGTGTGGAGTTGTTGGTCTCCATGTGATGAACATTCTCAATTCCCAGTTCTCATGAATGTCCTTTAGGCAGTATACTTGAAGTGGAAGGTATTATGAATTGTAAGCTAGGATCCATCTAAATCTGTTTCAACCAGGCAAAAGATTGCTGATATCTCTAAAATTGTTGTCAGCCTATTCTTATCATGATCTTTTACTTTTTCTTCCTTTCTGGCTGAAGAAACATGATGTAAAATTCCAAGGTTTCAGTAATTAGTGACATAGATGAGAATTCCTATTCAGAATATACTTACCACCAAGTGTGTTGATTTCACTCTTGTGGCTAGTTCCTCTATGCTTTTCAATTTTCATTTTGTGATTCATTTGATGGTGCGTTCTTTGTTTGGGATTTCACTCGTGGCTAGTTCCTCTTGTGTCTTTCCATTTTCATTTTGCTGATTCATTTGATGGTACATTCTTTATTTGGTTAGTAGTGATTTTGCTTTTAATTGTTTTACTTATTTTTAATTATTTCCCTTTCCTGAATCCTGCCTTGAATTATACTCTTATAATTTTGCCTCTCATAATAGAACAGTTAGCTCTTCTACCCATTTGCCTTACAGAACCCTCTAATCTACTATGCTTGATAGAGATGAGATCTTATCACTAAATTTTACAGCATTAAGTGTTACTTTATAGGTTTGTATTTGATGCCATGCATGCTGTTACTGGTGCTTATGCAAAACCCATTTTTGTGGACAAGCTAGGAGCCAGCCCGGTATGTCATGCTTATGAAATATCTGAAATAGACTATTAACCTAACTGCTTTGAAGTTCCTGACTCTAGATCTTAGCTGTGTCATGTAGGATTCTATATCAAATGGAGTGCCTCTGGAGGATTTTGGACATGGTCATCCAGATCCTAATCTTACGTAAGATAGTCACTAGTCAGCAAATGCTATATATCTAGATTCTATTAAAACTCTAGCACTTTCTGACCTAATGGCGAAACAGGTATGCAAAGGATTTGGTTAATACAATGTATTGTGAGAATGGACCTGATTTTGGCGCAGCAAGTGATGGTATGTTGGAAGACCTCAGAAGAGAGAAATTTGTGTTGAATTTTCTTGTATTGTAAGATTTCTCCAGTTTGTTATGCATTTATGGTGGGATTCATTCACTAATATCTTCATTTTTCTAAATTCTTTTGTGCTTCTAAATCTATACAAGTATGGAAGAAAGAGAACAAAATCCAAAAGTTTGGCTTCAAACCTAGAGAAGCATGGAAGAAAGAGAACAAAACTTGGAACTTAATTTTAGAATAATTTGGTGCTTTCTTGAACCACCCTTTGTATTCTAAACTTGATGAACTCTTATTTTGAATGTATGACTCTTCCGATTAATCTTATGTTTCCAATTGCTTTGCACAAGGGCTTCTAATAACCATAAATTATCTTTTTCTTTTGTCAAAATGGTTCCTGACATTTATAGGACAAGCTATTTTATGGATAATAGGACTCTCCTTTCTTCTTGAAACATTGGTTCTTCTTGAACATAGGCAAGTTTTTATTTTTGTTAACTTATGTGAGTTTTCTCCTTTTATTTATCCTCTCTTTCACTCCTACATCTTTTTCCCTAATCTTCTCTTTACTGATTGTCAATTCAGAGTCTCACCCATCCTCCTCTCTTAATCCAGAATAGATTCTCACAGTTGTATCTGTTCCACCTTTTAAGAGAGGAGAATGTTGCAAAGTTTGTATGTAAAGTTGAAACATTAATTATAGTGGCACTGATTCAGAAATCTGACTTAATAGAAAGAAACATACTCATTTAGAGAAAGGGGGGGGGGGGGGGGGGGAGCATAAATTTATAAATTACTGGGGATGTCCTGTTTTCGAGCAGATTGGACTCATTTTGGTGGGAGGCTTAATCACATTTGGAACTTGGGGACCTAAAGAGTGATATTTTCTTCATGTTCTTTTGTTGTTATTTCTTTTTGTTTTAATTTTCTGGAGAGAGATAATGCTCAGTACATGGTTGACATGCAGAAGTACCTTACAGCAGAACTGTATCATGGTTATTTAAATTAACTTGCGTCTTTTGTTTGAATCTGTTTTAGATGTGTAGTTACATATTCTCAATCACTGGCCTATCCAAGCTTGTAAACAAAAGTTACTTGGTTCTATGTTACTAAATAAGGTGCAGTCAATACAATCTTGTTTTGAATCACAATCAACTTGTTTCATGATTACTCAGGGGATGGCGATAGAAACATGATTCTAGGTAAAAACTTTTTTGTTACTCCTTCAGACTCAGTTGCAGTTATTGCCGCAAATGCACAGGTAGCAATCCCATACTTTCGGAGTGGTCCTAAGGTACCAAATTTAAGCATCTTTGCTTTCATGTTTCTTAAGCCAAACATAGATTACTTACGTTTAGCATTTTCAGGGTTTAGCTCGATCAATGCCCACCAGTGGTGCTCTTGATCATGTTGCTGAAAAGTTGAGTCTTCCTTTTTTTGAGGTAAGCACTTTTCTCAATTAATGTATCCTAATCTTCTAAGAAAGGCTGTACAAAAGGGCAAGGAAAATATTCTAAGATACTTTCTTCAAACAAACTACTGGATTTTTTGTTTCAGGTTCCCACTGGCTGGAAATTTTTCGGAAATCTTATGGATGCTGGAAAGTTGTCAATTTGTGGGGAAGAAAGCTTTGGTACTGGTTCGGATCATATTCGTGAGAAGGATGGCATATGGTAATTGCTTGTTTTAATTCACAGGTTGTTTAACAAATTGCTTACATTTGCTAAAACTGAGACTTCTCGTCTCATCAGGAATGTTGACATAATACTGTCATCAGTCACAACATAAGGTTGACTGCATGAATTATTTATATTATAATGTCTTCAATCATTGCCTTGGTGGAGATGGATTATTTTGCCAATATCAACTAGTTTCAGTATTCTGAGTCCAATCCCCTTTCACTCTTCCTGATCCCATGTTCCATTTGACATTGTTTTGCCGTTGTGCACCTTATAATGCAAACTGTCAAATATGCACTCCTTATTGTCCTCATTGTCCTCCTTTTAGCATCTTGTGCGAATTTTTATGCTCGCTTTTTAAATATGGTATTCTTTTACAGTTTAAGCTTTTGTTACCATAATCCTGACAAGCATTATAGAAGCAAAATCATAGCCATCTGAAGACATCTCAACAATTTAGCTTGTCAATCAAAGTCTATTATTGAGGTCTCTGTTTAATCTATGATACTGAACCATTGCCAATTGCTTCCAAAATCTCGGGAAGCTATATCTGGAGGCAGAAAAGGAGCTGCTGTGTACTCTAATTAAGACCACTTGCCAAGTTTTAATTTAAGCCACAATACTACTGCAACAAAGCAAGGCTTGGGTGAATATTAGTAGTGGGGCACATTTTGGTAGTTGAAACTGTGTAATACAGCCAGATTGGATTTTAGGTTATGGAAGGTCTTTCATTCTCTACTAGTGAATATCATTGCATGTATAAAGCGTATTTGGTACTTATTCATCAATTTTCTTTTGTAGGTCTGGACTTATTCTACCATAATGGAAACTTTGGTGAAATGACCGCAAAAGCTCAACAATATGTTAGATATTTTAAATTAAGAAAGAAAATAAGAGAAACTTAGGAGGCAACATTACTATTTTCTAATATTTGGCACACTTTCGAATAGCTTTATAATTAAATGTAGCTAGTGTCATTTCTCTAGATTTCTCAAATCTGATTAGTTTTGAAAGGGCAGAAAAAGGAGAAAATGTCACTTGCACACTCTTTTCTCTTCTATTCACATCTCTCTTTAACTTTTCACTATCTCAACAAAAGAATCAGTTTAATTTGTCTCTTCGTTTCTCCCTCAACTTCTTTTGATCCAAGCACATCCATTAGTAGTTTCTTCATAATTCCATGGTGGAGCTGAATACTTCCATTACTGCTACTTCCGCATATGTTTTCACCCTTAGAGACCTGACCTGTGAATAAGATTTTAAGGCATCTGTTCCTTGTTTATGATGCTTATAAATGCTGTCATCCACTGTTAACTTATCCATGGATTCTAAATATAATGATTTTTAATTTTGTGAATAACAGGGCTGTTTTAGCATGGCTCTCAATTATTGCATATCGAAACAAAGATAAGAAACCCGGAGAGAAATTGTTGTCTATCTCTGATGTTGTCAAAGAACACTGGGCAACCTATGGAAGAAATTTCTTTTCAAGATATGATTATGAAGTAAGCATGATAGCTGCTTTTTGAAAAAAGTTGGCATGAGTTTAATAGTTTCTAGTTCATTTCAGCTTGGGAATTCCTTGTTTTTGGAGAAGGTTTAATTATCTAATTCATGAGTCACTATTCAGGAATGTGAATCTGAAGGTGCCAATAAAATGATTGAATACCTTAGAGATCTGGTTTCAAAGAGTAAGGAAGGTGAAAAGTATGGTAAGTTTGCAACCAAACCTTAATTCCCATGCGCCATCCACTGCAATGTTCTTATTTTGCATCTGTTTGACTGCTTAAAATTCCTTTGTAGGAAATTATGTCCTTAAATTTGCTGATGACTTTGCATACACTGATCCTGTAAGTTTTAGCACTCTATATTTTCGAGGTCTTTGCTTAAAACTTGATCACCTTCAACATATAACTGTACTATCTTCAAATTGTTATGCATTGTGAGTTTAATATTGATTGTCTGATTTTTTAGGTGGATGGAAGTGTGGCCTCAAAGCAAGGTGTTCGATTTGTTTTCACAGATGGTTCAAGGATTATATTCCGTTTATCGGTAAGTGCAGGACTTTGTTTTGCTTGCTCAAATACTCACTCTTTCTGATATGATTAAATTTCATATACATATAGGGAACTGGTTCAGCTGGTGCTACCATTCGAATCTACATTGAACAGTTTGAACCAGATGTTTCTAAACATGACATGGATGCCCAAGTGGCATTGAAGCCTTTAATAGGTATGTTCGTGGTCATTTTTTGTATTCCTTTAGGCAATTGATGAATGAATTTTTTGGTTGTATTTCAGATTTGGCATTGTCTGTATCAAAGCTGAAGGACTTCACAGGAAGGGAGAAACCTACAGTCATCACATAAAGCACACTCATCCTGAGCCTCGCCTATCAAATGCCATTTGAAGTGACTCTATTATGGTTGAGCGTTCCTTCTTTCCTGGCCTCTGTTAAGTTTTGTTTTTATGCTAGTTAGTCTGGCATTGTAGAATCACTCCATGTAATTTATATGAAATATTTATCTGAAAATAAAACGTCTAGCTTCAAATGCTCGATTCAGTGAAAATAGATTGAAATAGATGAAAGATCCATTTGGACTGATGCGGAAGGTAATGTATCTTCTGACTTGCCGGAGCCAGTTTTCATTGGCAAACCAAGCCTCATCACCATGTTTTCCTTTTTTCTCTCTGCACAAGTGTGGGTCCCTGGCTCTGAGCGTCTCCCTTTTAGATGCTGAAAGAGGGGGGGGGGGTCAATCTCCAATTTACTCTATGGTCTACGGTTTTAATGCTCCTCTCATGTTTTCTCCGCCTTGTATAATTTCATTTGCATCTGCATTTATTATTATTATTATTATTTTTCTGACTCTCCTGCAAATAGTGAAGGACAAGTGGGATCAATAATACATCAGTGTTGATAAGAGCCGATGCAATAGCACAACATGACAAGGCTTACAAGACAGAATGCCTCTTGAATGGTCAGCTCATGAAATTCCTCGTCACTCTTGGACGTTGATTTGAGTGAATCACCAGTTGCATGTAGTCTGCAACATTCTTTCTTGGTATCTGATCTGATAACTGATATAACCAGTTGGCCATTCTGGTTAAACTGACTTGATTTACAATATTGGTCATCTTTTTTAAAACATGTAACATGATACCAAAAAAAAAAAAAAGTCATATCATTCAAAATTTTAAGAAAAATTATGGGTTTAAAAATTAAAAAATTAATTTTATATTATCATGTAAATATAAATTATGATAAATTTAGTATAAAATACAATATAAATTAATAAATTATTAATAGTTTAGATGACATAGATTCAATTTGGGCTGATCAGATTTCCATGATTCGGACCTCGGAGCCATCGAATGGCAGTGCCCCGGCCACCTCAAGGTACAACTAAGACAAGCATGAGCACCATGCAAATTTTAATGTTAAAAAAAAAATGCTAACCCACCAGGTTTTCCAATGAGATGCGAGCCACCGCTGTCCAGCAAAAGCCCAAGTGACAGTGGCACAGCACGTACTCAAACATGAGAAAGCATGTTGAAAAAGTATGCTTGGCTTCCAAAACTTCCAATTTGTACCAGTCACCTCTCTTCGATAATTTTATACCTTTCTCTGGATGTGACAGTAGTAGTGTCTATGTCCTCTCAGTGAAATAAAATTTCTTCAAGGAGGGTCCTAGGAACGTGCTTTTCCGTTTCTCAGTGCAAATGGAAATCTAAAGAGATGCCGCCTTTCCTGCTTATTTGTCCCCATATCATCGCCAACTACATCAAAGATTGCAACCAGAAATAGTGTACCATTGATGACAATGAAATTTTCAAACTTTACATGTGTGACAGTCTCTTTCTGTTACAAAAAATCAAATCATGCACAGTGCTCTCCTTCCATGGACACTTAGAAAGTTGATTTTGTTTTTTAGAACAGTGATGTTATTTGTATTTCGATTTTTTCTCTTCGTATTCCATTATTAACATTTAATTTTTTTTATTTAACGGATTTCAAATCTAAAATATAAATTTATCAAAAATTCAAGTATCCATCTTCTCACATCCCTTTTCTTCTCTTTTTTCAACTAAAAATTTATAAAATTTTAAATCCAATAATTCAAATTCAAAAAATTTTTTTACGCATTTAAAATTAAAAAAAAAAACATAAAATCAAAGATAAATTTTCAAAAAAAAGTAAAAAAACAAAAAATAATTAACTAATAAATACTTAAATAATTTTATTAAAAATTAAAATTTTAAAATATATTAAAAAATTTAGAGTACAAATAGCAACAATCTTTTTAAAATAAAAACGTGAGTTCAAATTTTAACGAGAAAAAGGTGTCGGGTGTGACTCAGTAAAAAATATTATTTTGGAATAAAAGTAGTTATCGGCTTATCATGACAAAGAAGCAAGCGTGAAATGTAATGTGCAGGAAATATGCTTATTTAGGTTTTTTTCCCTGGTTGAAGCAAGGTAAAGAGAAAGATTGGCTGCTCAAAGGCATTAACGTGAGGAGAGAGAAAAACCAAAGAGAAAAGGAGAATTATTGAGGGTGAAACTGGACCGGGTTGAATACCAACTCCTTGCTGGGCATGAGACCACACACACACTTTTGTTATCATTGCCACTGAGACCCGTCTTTTTCTTTAAAAATCCAAAACCAAAATCAATCCGGATTGTCTTGGCTCCCCATTGGAATGTGATTTAAATCCCACCAACAAATAGTGGTAGAGACAGGGAGAAAAGCAAGCAATCTTTTTTAATTTGTGGATAAATAAGAGGATGGAACTGTGTTGGTCCTAATTGTGAACACACCTCTTTAGCCATAGTTTGTGCATATAGATCCTAGCCAAGTCTATCAATATCATGGGGTTTGCCCTTTGCTCTTGGAGAGAAACTAAATTTGCCCCACCTTTTATCTGCATGACATTTTGATAACTCCACCATCATGTTACTTGCCTGTAGATGGACCTTTCATGTCCCTTCACCCTCCCCTCCCCTTCCCTCCCCTCCCCTTCCCTTGCCGCCTTCTCCTCCGTCCTCTAGTGTTTCTAATTTGGATTTTGGGAAACCAAGCCTAGCTAGAGTTTTTTTCTTTTTTAAATTTTCGACAGCCATTTGCTTGGACCTGTTTGTGTTTGGACAAGTTAAAATTTTTTGATGATATAGTTGAAAATTGTATTAAAATTTGGTGATGTGAAGCACCTAAGCTTGATTCTTGAGGAAAAACTGAAAGAAAAAAGGGTGAATATGACAGGAACTCACTCATGGACAAATTTTTAGTAAAAAAAGTGTACTCAAAGCATACATTACCTTCTATATAAAAGCAAGCAACGAAACAAGGTATTGAAGAGATTGTTTCATATGAACGGTTCATCGCTACATTATGGCTTTAAATAATGATTCAACAAGCTCAAGTGGAACTAGTAGTTACCAAGGACAAAAGATATGTGATAAGAGGAAATTAATAAATATTTAATTATCATTTAAATTAAGAAACAAACAAAAAGAAAGAAAAAAAATCTAAAATTTAATTTAATTTATTTATACAATTACTTTTAATAAATTTTAAATTTTAAATTTTAATACTTGCAGTATATTCTTTTATCTTAAATTACTACCTCATTTATTTAAAAAAAAAAAAGTTCAGTAAATTTTTTAAATTAAATCGAGGTCATACTGTATTTGTTTAGCATTATTTTTTAACCAAGGACAAAAGAGAAGAAACAGCTTTTCCATCAAAAACCATAGATTCGCCAAAACCAAGGATTCCCGAAAAATGTGAATTTGATTCTCAACCCTGGCATTCTTCCTTCTAACGCGGACTTCTTTAATCCATTTTTACCAAAAAAAAAAAAAAGAGTAAACAACAAAAAGTTCATGTGTATGATTTATCAAGGAAAAAATTAAACATATTTTTAGGAATGATTCTCGGAAAAAATATTTGTACATTTATGAGTTATCAACGTCCACTTCAACAATTACAGCCCAAGTCTGCGCCTAAACTACAGCCTAATTACTAATTGTGATTGAGAAGATTCATGGTACAAGAAGTGTCATGTTTATACATGATACTTCATTAAACACAGTAAACAGTGTCATTGAAAAATCTAGAAAAGTAAGAAAGGAAATTTTCAAAAGTAACACTTTATGAGTAATCCTCGTTCCTGATTTTAGGATCGTCCATATGGAGCATGTGCGAATCGCTGATCACTCGGATCATGCTCACCCCTATACCAATCTCAACAAACAAGTTACAATGTATATGCAAGACGATATTTTTCCCACACTCGTATATGTCACCCTCACTACTCACTATCTTGATTCTAACAATACAATTTTAACGAGGATAAATGTAGTATTATTGCATTACAAATACATAAAACTTTTCCAATTACTATACTAATAAATAATGACTTATACTCTTGAAACTCCACATATTTTGTACAATATCATGGGTGGATCTATCCTTTGAATTAGGTTGGCCTCAAAAAGACACTTTAAAATTTTTTCTAAACACTTTTTCATAACAAAATTAATAAATTTATCGAAAGTTATAGATATTATTAATAGATAAAAAAAATCTCAATCTGCCACTAGATAATATTCGTCAATAACATTAAAAAAACTCAAATTAGAAGGATGGTTGATCAAATCAAATTAGGAATGCTTTGAACGAGTTTTTCTCTTCTTTTAAGCTAAGCTTTACTTTTGTCGAGCATTATAGAAGTGACCAATCTTCTTCACGAGTATTGTCGGGATGTGTGAAATCCAAGTGTTTGATGGAGATGGTTAGGGAGATGGAGAATATATGATTTTTGGTTTGAAAATAAATTTGAGGCGTGGACTACTAATGTTGAGTGTTTTTATTTCCTTCTCTCTCCCAGATCACCTATATATATAAAAGGTCTACTGATTTCATGATTTACAAGTTTGACGGGCTTGTTTATGTTTGTATTTGCTCCCATCTACTAAGGGGTCTGACATGGTGATCAATTTTATGTGTTAAGTATTATATTTTAGAAAATTTTGTTTTGTTTTATTTATATTCTATTTTTAATTTATTGCATTCCAAAATATGTTTGAATATATAAAATATTTTTGTTGCATAAATTTTGTAATAAAAACTTATAAGAGAACCCGGTTAAAGCTTCAAACTATGAGATGATAGAGGTTTGAATTCTTTTAATATCAAATCTTTCTATGTTTAAATTTTAAAATTGACACTGTTTATACGTTTTCAAAATTTTGAAAACATTATTTTTGTATTTTAACAAGAGGGGTTCTATTCACACCCCAATAATTTCTTTTAACACCTAATTTCTTAAAACATTTCCATTTTTTTTATTACACTCCAAACCATAAATTCAAATTTTCATAATTACTTTCACACCCCATCTTCCCTCTCCCTCACGTCCTTCCTGATTCTCTTTTGCCTTAAACCTAAATTAAAAAAAAAAAATCAATCTAAATTCAAAGGAAAACGAGTTATAAAACTTATAATCAAAGGTCATTCATTTGTTTTTGTGTTAAGTTCATTTGATTTCGTGCTGAATTCCAAAAAATTACAATTCTGCAATTCGTAGGTTTTTGAAATAAATTTTTAAAATTTTTTTAAGCTTTCGAAAATACACTTTTT